CCTTCAGCCCCCTTTTTTACAATACTACAGCATCTCAAGAAACTATAAGGTGGAGAAAGCAGTGACCTAAGACATGAATGTATAAATAAAAAAAGACGATCTCGTCAAATCTGCTGAGGGTTTAGAGTGGAGACCATTAATCTTCTGGTATTTCTTTTTGTTGCAGGGTGGGAATAACGCAGGCCATACTGTGGTTGTTGATGGGAAAGAATATGATTTTCACCTATTTCCTAGTGGCATCATTAATCCAAAGGCAATTTCTTTTATTGGTAAGACAATTTTGGAACTTATTAAATAAAGTAACATTACATGGTGGGTAGCTGCCAACTGTAGTTTATAGTAGCAAAGAAAGAAAAATGTGTAGGTGACTGTCAATCAGCTTCAGCTGTTTGTCTTTTATTTCACTGCTGCTTTAACATGAACAGTTATTCTATGTTCCGTGCCAGTTTAGTGTCTGCTACTAGAAAACTGAAAGTAAGAACCCCCTCTTTCTGTCATGTTGCTCTTTCTAATACTTTATGGTACAAGTTTGGATTCCACCCTCTGCTTGCACACTCTTTTTATACTTTCAGAAATATAAATGCTATTCTTTGAGGACACAAACCCCAGCACTTAGGCTAAATAAATAATATCATTTATCTCTGATATCTCTTTACTGACTTTCCAGAAATAGGCCCCAGGATACAGGGCTCTGCTTGGAAGGTCATCATCCAGTCTCCTTTTTGTTCACATTACCAACTGTTTAAGGTGATGTTGTATTTCACTGTAAAGATAATCAATGCAAATGGCATCGTAAAAAAGTTTGCATTGCTTACTGGACATTAAACTCATAGTTAAGTGATAGGCAAACTTAAGCCTTTTATTTGTCCAAAATTATGATTCTTTCTGCTAGAAAAAAATGCATAGAGACTGTACAAGAAATGAGTGTAAGTTTTAGTGAGTCACGGAACTGTAGTTATAGTTTTGTTCCACTTGATAATTTCCAAGTGGATGTTTGAAATATACGAAACCTATTTTTTCTCTCTGCTAAACACAATGTATTGTCTTACTTTCCACTTTACTCCCTTGTCAGTTAGTAAAGACTATAACTTCAGTTATCCTAAATTTAGGCTGAGTCAGGCTCTTGCAGATATTTCTGATGTTCCCAAGAAGGAAGCAGCAGCTGTTTCCAGCCCACTACATCAGTAATCCTCCACGTCTCATCAGTAATGCTCTGTATTGCTTGTGGATTTTAAATTGTAGCTCAAAAGCAGGAAGAAGGCATTTATAATGTATTACAACACTAGTTTGAGCTGAGTTTAAAACAAATAGATGAATATTGAAGAAAATGTAAATATTGTTGCACAGACTTGTCAGTCTTTTAAGGCCATGGACTTCTTTCAGCTTTTACCAGTGAACAATTGAGGCTGAAGTCGTGGTGCAAAGTCCACCACAAACAAAGACAAGAATCCGCTTACCTCAGCTGGCTTCGGAGCAGGCCCAGCATTCACGTCTGAAACAAGCAAGCTCTGTTTTTTCTGATTTTAGCAGGCTTGTAGCTGCTTATCAAAAATAAGGATTTATCCAAAAATTTCTCTAGATCACTTTGTGAGAAACGTGAGAAACTTAGTCTTACTTTTTAAATAAAATTTCAGACAGCAAGTATTTACATGTCTTACATCCTAAGAATGAGTATTTTATTTCTTGCTTTAAAATAAATCATTTATGTTCCCAAAGGTAACGGAGTGGTTATACATTTACCAGGCCTGTTTGAAGAAGCTGAAAAGAATGAAAAGAAAGGTTTGTATCAAGTAATTTTTAACTTTTCTTTATATTGGCAGCCGGGTTGAGGGTTTTTTAAGCCTTTATTTCTGACCATAAATATTCACTGCAATAACACTCTGGATTTTAAATAATGAGGAAAACAGTATTTAAAATGTTGAATTGTGTTGTGGTCTTCAGGCAGATTTTGAAAAGCAATCTTTTCATGGGTTTTCAGGGAGTTTTATGGCATTATATACCACATTAGATAGAAAAAAAAAATCCTAAAGTGTGTGGCAAAGCTTCCTCTGACCTCAAACTGAGATGATTTAACCCAGAGTTTCTGTGTCCCCATTTCTGTGCCCAATTATAAACTCAGTTGGTTCTGCTTTGAGTAAGGCTTTGGACCAGATGACCTCCTAAGGTCCCTTACATGTTAAATTGTTTCATGATTCTAGATATAGAAATGCTCTCTTTTCTGAGGCACAAATGGAGTTTAAGTGATTTATCGTATAGAGAGTTAAACAAGATCTTTCCTTAAAATAAGAATTGTGTGTAAGCCACAGCATTCTGGCGTTAAGGAGTGTCTTTATCCATACCAAAATGAAAAAGCTGAAAAAGTAAAAAATGAGAAAAGTTAGTTAACTAAAACATTGCTGATATTTGATATTCATTTATGTTTTATCCATTTTGTCTACAGTCTTCTTAACAAGAAGCTATATAAACTAGAAGACAGACATAGAAATACTAAAAGCAAATCTGAAGGTTTGACCAATCAGCACAGCTGAAATCCTACTTTTCTTTATGTCTTCTGATAGGTTTAAAAGATTGGGAGAAAAGATTGATTATATCAGACAGAGCACATATAGGTAAGTGATGATTGAAGGGGGAAAAAAAACTCACAAGTGATTGCTTAGCTCATGGTGCTAAACTATGTTTTTACTCTACAGAGCAGTTGTGTATTTGATCTAATACAACTTCTTTATATGTTGTGTATCTGAAGCATAATAACGGAATTTGTATCCACTAAAGACTGATGTTTTACAGGTTTTCACAATGTTTAAGGAATACTCGCTCTGTCTTTGTCTTGAAATTATACATCTGTCATTTAAAGAATGTTTTTCTCCTTTGGTCTCCCACTATGTCCATTTGATTTTCCATTGCAGTGTTTGACTTTCACCAGGCAGTAGATGGGCTCCAGGAAGTGCAACGTCAAGCACAAGAAGGAAAAAAGTAAATATTTTCAGCGCCTTTATTTCATTAATAAGTATGCAAATTTGAAAAATTGGTGTAATTTTGGAAAACAGAAATACAATGTATCTCTAAAGAGCCTTGCTGATGTTACTAATTCTGTGACTCTGTTCTGCTCCTGCTTATGTTAGTGAGTAAACTCTGAGCTATTACTGAAAAGGCAGGGTATGAATTCTTACATATTTCCGTTTTCCAGTTCTCTGCAACATATAGAGACATTTTGAAATTCCTACCAAATCCTCAAAACCCATTTCCATTAAAATGATGTTTCCGATCCAGTTTAATATCAGACCAGTGATGCTCTTTTGAATCAGGTCTGAAGTGTTGTCACGATTAGGTTCCACACTTGTAATCGTTTATTATATATTCAGTTGTACTTCGTGGAGATATTATTTTATATTTTCATCTTACACTTTAGCACAGTATGTAACTATTCATACTTCATTATTCTGGTTTCTGAAAGAACAAAGGTTTATGTGAACACACTGTATTTTTCTCTCTGTCTATTAGTTTTTGATCCCATTGGACAATTTCAGCCAAACTTAACATACAAATAGGGATCTCCAAATTACTGTACTTATGAAATGCACATTAAAATAGGCATGTGGTTAGGGGAACAGTTTCATTTTTATCCTCATCAAGGTAGAGGCTGCAGCAGCAGTTCATAAGGACAGAGATAGTCTGAATAATGCCAAAGCCACAGGAAACCAGTTTGATGGCTCACAGAACTGGTTGTTGTTTACAACTATAGACAGCGGTGCAACAATGAAAATGTGAAAATGACATTTGTTTCCTGTTGTTTGTGGTAAGGAATGTAGTAGTACCACAGGATAGTATAGTAACCGTTATTACTGTATAATATATGTGTATACACACATAGTTTCAACTAAGCTTGTCTCAGCCAGACTTAAGGCTTAATGCTTTACTGCATAGCATGAATATTAGCAATATTTATGCAAATCCACTGAGGCATGAAAGCTGCTATATATTTATTGTTAGAGAACTTTAGTCTTTTTTTATGTCTCAGATCTTTTGCCCAGTATATGGTATATTGAAGAGCTTTATCAAAATTACTTAGCATAAAGCATATTTTTGCATATATTTATACATGTTGGGGGGGGGGGGGGGGGGTTTTTTTATTTAAATTATTAATGATATGTGTTTTTTTGACATATTTTTATGAGTTGGGGGGGGGGGGTGTGTGTCTTTTTAATTAGTATTGGCACAACAAAGAAGGGGATTGGACCAACATATTCTTCCAAAGCTGCACGAACAGGCCTTCGAATTTGTGACCTCCTTTCTGACTTTGGTGAATTTTCTTCAAGGTAGAACTAATTTCATTTCTAAATATTGTGTTAAAGAGTGATACATTTTGGCTGACAGACTTGCTAGTAAGGGGATGTTTTTAAATGTGTCTGAATTTTGTATATAAATTGTCTAGAAGGAGAAGAAAACTGGAAAGAATGTGTGTGTATATTTCCTGTACTTCACAGAGTTTCTCATTATTTAAAATGTAATTTGGTACATTGGGAAATGCACTGGTTGACATATTGAAGTTCTGGGTATTTTCTCCCTATAGCTCTCAGTGTATACTCTGTATAATATCAGCTGAGTTCTTGCCAAAGGTTCTGTGAACAGTAACTCAAAGAGTGTTCTTCATAGATACGATTTCAATATTTTACAGATTTAAAAATCTGGCACAACAATACAAGTCAATGTTTCCCACACTGGAAATAGATATAGAAGGACAACTGAAAAAGCTAAAGGTAAGGGTTTAAGACTTGTAATATTTGTTCAGTTTCAGGGAAAGTATAGAAGAAAACAGTAATATTTATTTTAATTTTAAAAGTAAAAATGCAGTGTACCAGAACTACTACTTATTAAACTAATGAATTAATTTAAATGAAAAATGCATATATTCATTATTATAAAGCCTTTTAATAAGCAGTTGCTATGCTTTGTAATAGAATGTTCTCTTATTGTGGGTATTAAAATAAACTTTTGTGGATGATTTAATTCTGTGATATTTTACTTTTTTGACATAAAATAACTGTTGTATTAAAGTAGCCAAGAGAAAGCAGGGTGACACTTGCAGTTAGCGGTCTTCAGCTATGTCTGATCTAGTGTGTCTGAGAGACTTCCATACTTACTGAAGAATTGTTTGTGGAAGCTGTGTTTCAAGATCCTGATATGACAAGAAAAATGTCTTTTTATAAATAAACTCAGAAGAAACGCTGGTAAAACATCTTCTTTCATGAATACGTAAGAAAAGAGGATGCTAGAAAAATCTCTTACCTTTCCCAAGTTTTGTCTGGTACTTGTTCAGAGCTGACACCCTACCTTTAAAGATTTTTTTTAATATTCATGAGTAGTGTTTGTTTTTTTTTTTCTTTTGGAGCTTGCACTATTTCTCAGTCCCACTCTCAGTGTGTCTAGACACACTATATAGAGACTATATCAACAAAATGAGGTAGGTATACATCATCTCTGTGAATAGAAATTATGGTACAGAAATTATGGCATTCTAATGCCATAACAAGTCATGTTTTCTTATGTGAGTGGTTCAATACATTGATTTGTTTTCAGTAGAATATAAGCTAATGGTTGTATTTTTCAGGTAAAGCACAGTTACTGAAGCTGGCATGTTAGGGTTATCTGTATGTTTCATGTTTCAAAAGTGAACACAGTGTTCCCTGCTTCCAGCCGTTGTCTGGCGAAGCTGACATTTCTACTCAAATTTGCAGGGATATGCTGAAAAAATAAGACCCATGGTTCGAGATGGCGTGTATTTTATGTACGAAGCTCTTCATGGCTCCCCAAAGAAGATTCTTGTTGAAGGAGCCAATGCAGCATTACTTGATATTGACTTTGGTAAGTTGATTGTAAACTCGATTTAACTCCTAAGAGATTAGTTTTATTTTTATTAGTTTTATATTGATTTGTGTTTATATCAGCTTTGCAAACAGCAGGGAAATAGAGAAACAAAATAGTCTTTCCTTTAATAGGAACAGATCTCCCAAAAGTAAAGCACAGTAAGCCAGAGATTGTATCATTAACAGGATTAAGTGCTTAGGTTTTAAATATTGATTTTTACTGAAGTTTCTTCCAGCGGAGTTGAAATTTCACTCCAGATATTCTTGTCTTTATTACTTCTAAATGTGTGTGCACATTGCCATAAGTTCCAGGCAGCCATTGCAGTGCTGCTGAGATAATTCCTCTGCAGTGGAGGGAGGATTAAACTGGTGCAGATAACCCATAAGTCTAGCTTCTTCAGTTGATCTCTGCTCTGCTCTCTTACCCAAAGTCTAATTAAACCACTTAGGTCTCCCTGAAGATAAAATGAAAACTGGAGAGATGCTCCAATCCAGAGTCACAGTGTAGAGATCGTGAATAACCTCTTAAGACTTAGAAAATTTGCTGCAGATACTCCAGAGCTACTTGTGTAGAGCACTGGGAATGTCAGACTGTGACCTTACACCAGGCTCTCCGTGGATGTTGCGGAAATACTTTCTGTGATACGCAGGACAGTGAAAAAAGCTTTACACAGCAGCAGCATCCTATAATAGATCCAGTGCCTAGGGGAAGTATTATTGAGATGCTTTTAAATTTCTCCCTTGTGGGCAATCCTCAGTGAAAGCTGCACAGGATGAATGCAGAAAAGCTTATGCATTGCAACAGATCGGCATACTGGATACCTCCTTAAGTATAAGAAAGCAGTATATTTTCTTATTTGTCTGTGTGAACTTCTTGCTCACTAATAATATGCTTACACAAATCGCCAGGATAAGTCAGCTATTTGAGTGGAAAAAATCGTTCGTTTTGAGGGGTTTCTGTGGAGCTTTAGAAATCTAAATACGTATTATTCACTACAGGAGAAAGGAATTTGGGGAAGAACGGCTTAATTTGTTCTCTTAAAAGCAAAATGGGGACACGTAGTAAGAAGAATTTGCCCCGCTCTTTGGCTGCTACTTCAGTTTAGCCTTAAAATGAAAATCTCCTTTCAACTCGTAAAGGAAAATCGATCTTTGTTTCTTATCATTGCTGAAACAGGGTTGTGCTGTTGTGTTTTTCTGACAGGCACGTATCCTTTCGTGACTTCATCAAACTGCACCGTAGGTGGTGTATGCACCGGGCTTGGTGTTCCTCCCCAGCACGTCGGTGATGTGTATGGCGTGGTGAAGGCGTATACTACTCGGGTGGGAATTGGAGCCTTCCCCACTGAGCAGATTAATGTAGGTGTAACGTTACAAAATTCAGTATATACCATTGCCAAAAAATGTCAATGGAATGGGGTAAGGGTATACCAATGATAAATAAGCACCATAATAATAATGACAAGCAATAGCACTCACGAAGAGAGTATAAACATTATAAACTTAAGGTATTTTTCTTCAGAGGAGAGAAACATGATTGTGATGATGTTAGATTACAGTGACTACACTTCTGTTGTAATGACTGATGTGAAAACAGATTTCATCATTTTATGTAATATTGTTAGGTGCATTTCCGTGGCAAGAGTTTGTTGTAGACTGGAACTGTAGGTGCATCACAGGAAAGCTTAAATTACAAGATACAACTTCTGTGCTTAACAGCCTGTGTTCTGTGTGATTTATAGAATAAATGTGGTGTATGCATCAGCCAGTCATGCACAAATTGATCAATAAAAAGAAGTGGAGAGATTTTGATTCTTTTAAACTGTCTATTGTATTTTCATTATCAAGAAACTAGAAAGCTCAGGGTATTGATTATGAGCTATGCACACAGCAATCTTTAGGTCAGTGATCCGAATCTAATTTAAGGATTTAGTCACTAAAATCCTTTCTCTAAAGGCTCAAATGAATTGGTGATATCCTTTAGTTTTATAAGTCATGAGCGTAAAGTTTCTTTCTTCTTCATTTTTAACACGTTATAAACTCTGCCAGCCCGAAGGGAACAGTTGGCAGTCTCATACTGTGGTAGACCTAGGAGCCCTAGGCATGGTCAAGGAGTCTGTTGACAGAGACATTGTACAAGCTTTGATCTTGTCCCGAGCATTTATAGTCTTGCCCCCAAAGCCAATAGATGGCAAAAGACCAGATGAAGAAAGTAAATGTAAACAAAATTAAAACCAGGGCTGAATCGTCAAGGAAATCTTCCTGTCAGATGAAGAAGGAAAAGTGTCTCCTTGAAACATGAAATAGTCATATCAAATAAATATTTTGGAGATGCTGGTGATTGAAATGCAAAAATCCTGTGCATGAGGGGCTTTATTCTCCACCTTAGTCCCTCCTAATAAAACTTCATTATTTTTTTCTTCCTACAAAAAAGCTTTGGAATTGAACAACTGTATTTTCCTTGCTATTTGTCTGTATTTGTTTATATTCATTTTCCTGCTATTTTTCAGTGAAATACCATCAGCATTCTTTATGTCTTCTTTTAGGAAATTGGAGATCTTTTACAGTCCCGTGGCCACGAATGGGGAGTAACTACGGGCAGAAAGAGACGCTGTGGCTGGTTAGATCTTGTCATTTTGAAATATGCTCATATGATCAACGGATTCACTGCGTAAGCATCACAGATTTTGCGCTACATTTGGAAGTGATAATTTTGTACTTCGCAGAATAAATATGTAGGTAACATTAATATAAGTCTAGTAAAGTGTTACATTTTAAGCAATAAAATGGGCAACTGAGAATTGTCTTAATGCTAATAATAATCTCATTCCTTTGACTTTTTTTTTTTCAAATCAAGTGATTTTACAACATCATAGCAGTGATTTTTTTTTTTTCATATGTGTTTTCACTTTGCTTACATCAGATGACCAATGTAGATTGGATCAATATAACAGTTTGCTCTAGTGTTCTTTATCCAGTGCTTTCATGCTGACTTATGCCATGATCTAAAACTCGCTGGTTTTGAGCTTTGGTTGGCTCTAGTGGATCATACTTGCAGGACCAATTCTGCATCATTTGGAACTGCTGCCTCTTGAAGTGAAATAAGGGGGATGACACAAAGCGTACAGCAGTTGGCACAGCTTTCATTCCAGTCCCAACAGGTTCATTCGTTTGCAAAGATGTAGTCTAATATTGTATTATAAGTTCTGCTTTTAATGGGCTGAGTTTTATTTTCTTTGGGACTGAGCAGCTTAGCTTGGTTGATAAATTATTTTATAATTCATAATATATATAAAATTGACATTTTAAAGGAAAAGTGGCTGTTTAAAGGAACTGCTCAAGACCATAATGCCATCAAGCTAGCTTATGTCTAATACTAAAATGCCAGTAACTATCACAAGCCATTAATTTATAACTAATTACCAATCTGTATTTCAGAAAAAGTTGCAAAGTTTCATTACAGTTTTGTTCATATAAAGTGTAAACTTACTCATGCATTCAGGCAAACTTGTTCATATATGCGAACACATGACCCCAAGCATTTTAATATCTTATAAACTGAGACTTAATATTGTTTATGCTACTAGTGTTACAAAGGAACAATGATCTTTGTTCATTAATTTATCAGAAGGATTTTTTTTTTTTTTTACTTGGATTTATATTGTGCTTTAACTTACACAGCTCTAGTTTGTGTGGAAATAGTATTAGGAAGGCGTTACGTTTCCTTCCATTTCAGTTCTATACAATTACTGCATTTCTATCAACAAAACCGTGTCATCTGTGGTAACTGACAGTTTAATAAACATGGGGAGATAAAAACTTCAAAAAAGTTGAAGAACTGGCTCTGTGCCGCTTCTTTCCCACAAGGTCTTTTAATTTAATCATTGCATTCATCGTATACTTACAAGCACATACAGCATGGACGAGTATGCACATACCTGTCTAAATCCGTAGCTACTCGTATTTTTACCAAGCAAGGTCTGGCATATTGTTTCTAGAGAATTTGACTAGTTTTAAAATGTAGTTTTATTCTGATCAGTGAATACTGCAGTGTCTTCTTGAGGTTCCATTTTTGTGTTCCAGTATGTTCATTCAAAAGATGAAAAAGGTTCATTAAACTGACAACCTTGATAGCGCAGCCCAGGCACTGAAAGTCAGGCTGGGATCTTTCCTGCTGTTTTAAAAGTGTAATTTAGTAAATAAGTCCATCTTGTAGTTGTGAATCGGTAGGAATAACAGAAATAATCGCTAGTAGTGACCTGAAGTGACCTGCCGTCATACACACCCAAACCAAGTCCAGTAAGCGCCACTTTACGTAGTCAGGCTGCATTTTCATGCGCTGAACTGAACACCGTGCGCCTGTATGAGCAGCCAAGCATTTGGAAATGTGTCTTAGTACCTCAGTCATGTATTCATCCCAAAGGCGTGAATTCAATTAACACTGAGTTCATAGTTTAAGATATTTGTGTATTTCTGCTTGCTGGGTTGCCTGAGCTGTATTTGTGAATACAAAGCTAGGAAAAAAGAAAAAAAAAAAAAAGACAGGTGGAAAGTATTAAAGAGGAGATTCATCATTTGTGTAATTGTAACCAATGTGTTTCTGTGCAGTTTGGCATTAACAAAACTGGATATTCTTGATGTCCTTGATGAGATTAAAATTGGTGTTGCTTACAAATTGGGTGGAAAAAGAATTCCATATTTTCCAGGTATGTTTTTAAATATTTATGTTTATTTTTCTCTTTCCTGCCTGTTAAGTCATTCTTGTTGGGAAAGCCTGTTTACATTTTAAAATCAGGCTTGATTTCTTTTTCACTAGACCTGTAGAAATTTGCAGAACTGTGATGTCAGTATAAAGACTACTGTATCAGTATGCTAGCATTTTCTAGGCACCTTGTGTCTGTATGTATGACGACAAGAAGTTTAGAGCAAATAAAATCTTGTCTTAGGGCCTCTATGTCTTGTCCCATTAGATTTTTTTTTAATTGACAACACAAGGGGTCTATAAGTCAGCAAGATTCAAGTCAGTGACTGTGTATCACTGGCAATAGCCTTTAATGAAGTAAAGTAAAACTAAAATCAGTGCTTAAGCTGTGCAAAAATGAGATGGATACAAGCGGAATAAAGCCGCTTATGGGCTACCATCATATAACTGTAATTAACATCAGCAACATTGCAGTTAATAAAAATATACATTGCCTCATGAATGTGCTTCACGTTAAAACTTTTAAGATGTAATAATATGTCATTTTCATACATTAATGATGTTTTCAAGATACCCGTCACGGTCTATGCCAAGATGAGGGGTTTGTTCTGTTGAGATGGGGGATTCTGGAGGTGTGGGGAGGGCTGGCAGCAGCCAGCTTTCCCACCACTGATGGTAGTTCCTGTCTGCGGACAGTAGCCCAGTGGGAATTCCAGTGGGGAAAGGCTTGCAGACAGCTAAGTTTTTAGCAAGCCTGATTTAACCCTGTTCCACGAAGGTAAAAATTTTTGAGAAAGTCGTGCCTTGTCTACAGGAGGACTTCTATTTTATTATGTGCAAATCTGAACCACAAAGTGGAACTACTATAAACTTCAAATACTTTGTGTCCTTAAAAATACTACTGTAGTCTTCTGACAACATAGACTGCATCCTAAGGTTTTGACAAGAGGAAACTGGATTACGGGATCCTCTTGAATCAGAGTTATCTTCCTAAGTAACAGAAATTAATGTAAATTAAGAATAAATGAGTTAACCGGTCAGTAGAAATACTGTTTTGGTTTTTTTTTTATTTATCAGATTTTAAATGTTGTCAAAAGACTTTGTTGGTCAAGAACGATAGGTGTGTTCTTTTAAGGTGGAGGAGCTAAAATCAACTGTGATAAAAATTGTTCTCCCACAGCTAATCAGGAGATACTGCAGAAGGTGGAAGTAGAGTATGAAACAATGCCGGGGTGGAAGACTGACACAACTGGTGCACGAAAATGGGAGGACCTCCCACCCAAGGCCCAGAATTACATCCGCTGCGTGGAGAACCACGTCGGAGTGCCAGGTAAATCTTTCTGTAGATGTGCATGTGAGGATGCCACAGCAGGCAGGAACAGCTCTGTAAAAGTGCTCAAGTCGTTAGTCAGGGAGTGGCTTGATTTGGGCAGGAGGCAGTGGAGGTACCTGCGGTTGGGCTGATGACAGTAAATGACAGCTTGCCAAGAAGCAGCAAAGGGTGGTGTTGTGTGGGCAGGTCTGCAGTATTGCAGAGAGCTCCAAGCTGCTGCTGACAAGGATTTAACCAGAGGAAAGATAAACGTGTGTTGTTCTTGGCAAACTGCTGCCTTCTGTCAGTGAAAGCTTAGGGATCTCCGCACCATGCTGCAGTCCATAGTTAGTCCAATACCCTCAGTTTACTAACCTCTTCCTTTCACTTCCTGCACTGCATCCCTGTTTGAACACAGGCTTCTTTTTTTTGTCTTTTTTTTTCCCCCTCTTCCATACTTACCCAAATAAGGAGATGTGTTGCATAATGGATACAAGATTGTTTAGCCCCGTTCTGCCCCTTTGGAAAAATGAGAATCTTAACATGATCAGTCTCCAAAGGTTAAGCCATCCGTTTTTTTTCAAATCTAATTGCTAGAGCTGTAGAGGTGCCAAGAGCTAGATGCAGCACGAACGGTGGAGTTTGAAAGGGAATTTCCACAGCAGCAAACTTAAAGAGCTGGCATGTGTGCTTTCGTTTTCCATAAAGCACCTCAAAGGATACATTTGGGGAGTGTGAGCTATTTGCAACTGTGGCAATTCCAGTATTGTTCATGGATTAGGAAGCATCTGATAGCAGAGCCTGAAACTCGGTGGGTGGCTCATGTGCGGTCATGGACGCAGGTGCGGGCGATGGGATATGTGAATAAAGCTCCCCTGACTTTGTTTCTCTGGTTCTCAGTGTGAGGGCAGGGCGCCTTGGTGGGTTTGATGGCTAAAGGAGACCTACCTACAGTCAGTTCTGTAGTATCCATGGGCAAGAAAAACTGTAGTGGAACAATTATAGTATGGTATTTGGGGTGGCTGCTCACACTGGATAATGTTTTTAATTGCAGCCTTATATTTAACAATATTATAGCATGTGTGCGTCACTGTCTCCTGGTCCACGTCAAGAAAACCTCACAGTCTGACAGAGCTGTCGCTTCCTCTCTGCAGGGATTTAGCTAGACATCCTATCGCTCAAGACAATGACAGTTAAACCTGCAACAAACATGCTTGACCTTCTGTTAGGCATTCCATCTGCAATGCTTTGTGCTTATGGTATAATTATTTCATGCTTTCAAACTTCAGTATATTGCACTTCTAGTCTGGTAATGCAGCAGGAGTGAAGTGATTTTTGACAGTAAAACTTCCTAGCATTGTGTTTCAGCACAAAGTTGACCAGTTTGTAGTGAAGCATGATGAAAGGTGAAAATTATTCCAATTCCTTGATTATAATATTTGCTCTCAGTAATTGTTCTAATAGATGTGTTTTCCTCCTTAGTTAAATGGGTCGGAGTTGGAAAATCAAGAGAGTCGATGATCCAGCTGTTCTAAACAAATGAAGAACATCAGCGATGAGGAGCACAATTTAGCGTTCATCTGTTCCTTACTGCTTCCTCTTTAAATGGAGATGCTATTTAAAACCAACGTGTTCTTCTAGGAACTGAAGAGAAACAAAACATATATTCTGTATTGTAACATTTTATTTATCTTTAAGTTCTCAGTAAATTCAGTGTAAAATCTCCTTTGGTGGCCATCGTTATAAAAAAAAAATCAAAAAGGTATTCTTAACAAAAAAAGGAAAAAATATTTTTTTAAATTTGAGCCATGTTACTATTTGAGAGTATTTTACATCCATATAGAGTTATTTCTTCTTGCTGAAATCAGTATTAAGCCTTTTCCAGTAGTTACTGGGTAACTTTAGAAGTGTTAAGCTTGGATTTGTTCTTTGACTTCAAATGTTAAAATGTCTGTGTATCTGGGTTGGCAGTAATAAGACAGATACCGTGTACTTAAATTGGTTGGATTATACAGATTTTCAGTTTCTAAAATACAGTGAAGTTAGGTAGGTATTTTCGACACAAAGCAAAGCAAACACAATTACCTATAATTTTTATATTATCATTTTTTAATAGCCCGCTAAAACGAATGGAGAGCAGCTGAGGTATGTTTATCACAGAGCCTATTCTAGTAACTGAGATAACATCTGTAGAGGGGCCAAACTGGAGAAAGTTGACCTGTCTAATAATTCTTTCAAATATCCTGTGTACTAACAGGCAATCCCTGCGGAGGCTGTCAGATGTGCGGTCTTTATTTTATGCAGTAGGGAAGGAGTGAGTGAAGGTGGAAGAAAGCGTCCTCAGGATACAGAACACACAGGGAGAGTGCAGCCGAGACAGCACACTGTGTGTTCTCAGTGAACCCGAGACGTTTCTTCCTGCTAATGCAGTGATTGTAATTTCCAAAGTTTTACTGTAGTTATCTGTTGAGGAACTTGGGACTTGCCGCTCTGTAAGGCACACTCACTTCCACAGCTCCTAGGTTTCCAAGAATAAACCAATGCATGACTTAATGATGACTGCTGCAGTATTTACACCCCTCACGCATTTTGACCTTCCTCAGCAAAATGTAATGCCTATTTATAGAAGGGGATGACATGTGGCAGCCGGGGTTGGGACATGTAGAAGCCATGGAGAGGTCCCAGAATCTTCAAGAATACACTTGGATTTCTTTGTGGATCTTCTAATTCATAATGACTATACTTCAAGAGCTCTCAAAAAAAGGCCTACCTCTTGTAGAGGAAAAAGAATATACTAGAAACAGAGTTATTCCCTAACTGCAGAATTTTCTGAGTAAATGTTCCTTTTCTATATATGTGTCAGAGAGCTATAACAGTATTTTTGTGTCATTCCCAGGGGCTGTGGAAATGGCATCACAACCCCAGTAATGCCATTATGTAGTGTGTGAAAATATCCCTTTTCTGAGATGGTAACTCCAAGGACACAAAATTATGACATTCTTTGCATCAGAGATGGAGGAAAAAGAAAAACCTATCTGGAGTACCTTGTGTCATACTCATTCCCTTTGTCTTTTCTCGCTCAATATTAAATAACGGTTAATGTTCAAACTCATTTGTACCAAGAAGCAATTATAAAAGTACCGGTACAAGCACATAGCAAGCACTAAATTTAACTGTTTATGGATGTATTGCTGCTTGTAGGGCAGAATTCTTACACCCTCCGGCTGCAGTGCAGTCTCTTCATACCCCCGTTCATCACAGACTGTGGCTTTATGCCACAATCAAATACTTTTTATCTCTAAAAAAAAAAAAAAAATGGGGCCCAAAGCCATGAATCCTTAATTCAGCTACAACTCCTTTGTCAATCTTTGACAAGTTGTTTAATCTCCTTGCTACTGCTTTGCAATCTGTGAAATGGCAATTAGGAGTACTGCCTCACCTCTTTTAAACTTTTTTTTGGAGGTTGGTGGGTCAAGGCCTGCAGTCCTTGCTCTGACATTGATGAGGAAGCTCTCCTCATCGAATTTATGGGTGTTCTGATGAAAGAGCGATGAGATTTCTGACCTTATTTAATGTTTGCAAAGCACTTCTGAAAGGTGCTTGGTAAGTGCTAATTATTACAAGCACTGTGAAACGTGCCTCATTTATATGAGGTCATTTAAGCATAAAGATGCTTGGAGATACAGTAATTAAGTTTTGTTTTCACATGGCTTGACCTTGTGACATTTGCATACTGGATGATCTAGACCTGTTCCTTTTCTTGGCCTCATCTTCATCAGTGCATTCGGGTTAGGAGGTTGCCGCTATATTTAAGCTTTGGTTGATTTATAGGCAAAGTCCACAATGAATAACGAGCCGCTCGGTGTGCTGAATAACTGGATTAAATAGTCAACTCTAAATGACGTATTTGGCATATTGAAAAAATTAGGTTTTATAGTTTAATTTTCACAGGATTACTTTCTCTTGTTCACATAATCTTTTTACTTTCCATTAAGTCTCCATTAGATCCACGTTGCCTGTCTTTGCATTCAAGGATTCATCAAAAACCCAGTGATGTTGTCAATGGGCATGATGTAATAGGCAATTATCCCGTGACTTGCTCTGTTACCGTAAAAATAATATCATGCATTTCACTTCAGTTCATAGCATGGATTTTTTTAAATGGAAGTTCTACTCCTATTGAATTTCATATGTGTTGTCATTGAGTTAAATGTGAGTAAGTTCAGGCTTTTATCGAAAAGCTCTTTAATCTACTGACTGACACAATGCTTAATAAGAACATTTTTATGTAAATGTGCTTTCATTTTGGCTGTTTCCCTTGTGTATTATTTTGTATTGTTTGGAATTTCATTTTAATAACAATCACTGTGATTAATTTAGTTTCTTCTTTCTCCCCAGCCAAATGCAATAATAATGACTAAAACTGGTTGATGCATCATCCTGTTAGATATCTGGATGGAAGAATAAGGGTAAACATCTACCAAAATGGCATAATTGTGCTAAAGATTATAGTTTTTTAAAAGTAGCAATTACTGATTCACTCATGCACATGAATGTATTTGACATATTTTCCTCACACTTACCCTTACGATATGGCCTTCATAGTCAGGCGTATGCTTCCTAACACATGCAGTATAGGATTTTGAAGCTTTTGTAATTTTTAATTTGGTTATATATGGTCTTACAGTTCTGGCATAATGCACTTTATAAAAAGAAAGAAAATTAAGCATTTCCATAGTAATGTGCAAACTGTACTTACACCTTATGCAGATTTTTTCGGATGAATTTTGGATGCACACTTGTTTGGTTTGTCCTGAAAGACACATTAAAACCAACTGAAAGTAACAGTCCTTGGTCTCTATTTCTCTCTTCCTTTCTTTTTTTTAACGCAATACACTTCATACAAAAACCTGGTTCCGTATTTCATGAATTTTAAAAAATAACTAGCAGCATTACTGAATGAATGGATATTTTCTTTCGATCTACAGATTCTCAGTGTTTGGCTTTTTTTTTTTACATATTCTATAAAGTTCGTCCCACTTTCCCGTTTACAAACTGAGCAGGGATCCACCTTTACCACCAGGGACTCGTGGTTAGTCATCTTCAGTTAGCTCACCTGAGCGAACAAAGATTTTTATGAAGAAAAATACCCATTTTCTAATTGATGCAGAAATGTTCTTGCCGGACCAGCTGGCTCAGAGCAACTGATGTGAACTCCGTATAGCTCTTCATCAACAGCACTCTGCTGGAAAGGAAAGGTAGGTATTGGCTCAGATAACAAAATTATCACCTCTAAAATGTGGGAGGGCTTCAGAGAAGTGCTGCTAGGGCTTTCAGAAGCCTTTATAGAAATCACTTTTTCTCATCCATTTTAGAAGAAGTCTGGAACAGCAGGTGAGTCACCTGTCCAGTAAATGACAGCAGGTTAGCACACGGTTCAGGGCAGTGTCTGAGAGCTGTGTGGGAACTGCTCTGCTGATTAACTCATGTTGCTTCATTTCCTTTGCATCATTTTTTATATATTTATATATATATAAAAATTCATGTAGAATGTCTTTGGTAGCCGCAGCATCTGAAGCAGTTTCGTCTAACTCCACATGACACTGGCAATGCCCAAGGCAAAAACCCAAAACCGAGGGAGTCTCTCTCTGCTGAAATTACCCACTGGGAAAACTCTGGTTTTTTTACTGGTCCCTCTGTTGTCTGTCAGCTGGAGAGCTGAGTCAAGACTGTCTATCTTGTTTCCTCCCTCCCAGCTAGGTAAAACTGGGAACAATGTGACCATCTTGCCTCTGGAGAACTGCAATTAAGAGATGACTTTCCTGCCCGTACCCTCTTCTAGTAATAGTTGACGTGGAGTCCAGCCCTAGCCCACTCCTTATTCCTCATGGAAGTGGCCCAGCTTTCTTTACAGTAATGTTTCCTATCCATCTGAGAGCTGGTTTCAAGTGCTGGATGTCTGCAAAAAGGATGAGCTGACATCACCCTTTTAACTAGGCATCAGGCAAGAAAGAAAATCCAGCTCCCCCTATCTTTAGAAGAAGTCCCTGTTTGTGGTATAGGCACTGTATCGGGGGATGTGGATTTTGGCGACTAATTTAAGAGAGTTTGTTAGTGCTGGTTTCGTGCCTTTGTTAGATCCGTGTTGCCAACGAAAAAGAGGCTGCCTGAGGCGCGGAGCCTGCTCGACCGTCACCGTACTGCGTGGCGTTCGTGGTGTGCGCGAAGCGGTGGCGTACAGCCTGCTGCAGGGAGGTAAGAAAATGGGTTCTTTCCTTCCCAAATCACGGGTCCATCACAAAGGAGCTTTGCTAAGGAACACCTTTTACTTGGATGGGGCTGGCTGAACCCTTACATGTTGCTTAAATTTAAAGTACAAAATTATCCACACAGATGTCAGCCATAGAGTGAGGGATTAAAGAAGTCAAGTCTAAATAAGGGTTTCAAGATTTTGCCTTTTAATCTCTTATATACTTACAGGAAATTGGTTGTTCTAAAATACCTTCATCTGTTACTAATATCTGTACATTTCTGGAGTAGAGACTCTGCATTAAATATTTGCCCATCAGCCCTATGAGACTGTCTATTAAGAAAAAAACAAAAAAAACAGGAAAGAAGGTCTTCCGTAAGCACATACACTTTATAGCTTCCTTTAATGCAGAAAATTTTGGCCAGCAGCTGCATTTTTCAGTGGTTGGAAACAGTACAAGTTTTAACACTGTCTA